AAGATCCTGTGGGACTTCCAGATAAAGATGGAACGAATGGTAATGGCAAACCAACTGGACATTGTGGTGGTGGACAGAGAGCAGAGGAAGGCTGTTGTGGTTGACATAGCAATACCAAGTGAAAAAGGAAAATGAGAAACTAGAGAAATACCAGGGGCTCAAAAAAGAGCTGGAGAAAACCTGGAAGCTCAAGGCATCAGTGGTGCTCGTGGTGATATATTAGGGGTGTAAATCACATCCATCATGGTGATTCGTTTCCTGACCCAACGATTCGATTATTTTCGATACTCAAGAATACACCACGATAAATAATTGTTTCTTTTTTTTTAACCAATGTTAATGACAATGTTTCAAATTTGAAATAAATCAATGAAAACTGTAATATCGTTATGCATTTTTTTTTTAGAAACAACCGCAAATAACAGAAGTGCAAAAGTTGTGCTCCAGCTAGGCCTATTAAAACCTTTTTCACTGAAAAGTAAAAATACCCCTGCGTTATAGATTCTGAAAGGCCTAGCATCAAAAAATACTGCACAAAATTAGTGCAATGAGTGCAATGAAATACCTAGGCTCCAATGTCGACGTCCCTGCCCACTCCACAGATGCTGTGCTGCACCTCTCCGAAATTGTAACTGGCCGCAGACAGTGCCGCAGACAGGCCGGCTTGTTTTGTTTTTATGTCCGAAATTGCGGAAAACAACTCGTGAAGTCTGACCCCCTAGAAGTCTGAGGTGCGCGAAAACGCTGGGACACTTTTTCCACCTGGTTCCCCACTCTTTTTGGCCCTCATGTCCCTCCGTTGTCGGACTAAACTCGCCCCCACTTCCTCTCCACGTCAGGCGTATCTAGACCCACAGTGTGTAGCGCAGACCACGCTTCAATATTGGGCATAAATCAAAATGTCTGTGTCAAGCTTACTGCGACAGACTGCTGTAAGAGTATAACCAGGAAGCGAGGTAGGAGGGCAATAGGTTTAGCGCCACCACAGCACGGGAGTCAGAATTACGCACAGGAGCAAATGGATAAAAATAGACCGGAGAAAAACAAAAAACATTAAATCGATACTCTTGCAGACGTGTCGATGCATCGGATTGTCGGCTGTTGGATCGATGCGTTGATACAAAACGATTATTATTTACACCCTTTATATATATATATATATATATAT